AATATCACAAGACTCAGGGAGCAACTGGGAAAGGCTCACGCTCCTTGGCCAGCAGAACCTCCTCTGATTCTCACAGTCAGAAAGACCAACATTGGCAAGACCAGGATAAAATCCAGAGCCTACTGGAAAGAACTTATTTGCTGCTGCATCAGAAGAAGATTGGGAAATAAAATCCGTAGCTGGGAAAACCAGAGCTTTAAAAAAGAACCCACAAAACTACTTAGATTCTGTGCTGCTTCTGTCCCTTTCCATGGGTTTACCCAAGCAGGGTGCAAAGAGAGCAGGGTCTGGCCCAAGGGAGTTCAGATGCAGCAGACTGATCTACCATCAGGTTACAATATGTTCCCAGAAGGTACAGTATAATTCCGAGGCCAAGGAACAGCCTATTAGCTCTGCATGCCATTAATTTTCATGAATAGTTCAATCCAATGCTCACAGAAGCCTTTGGGCATCTTTCCATTTTGTCTAGCAGGACCTGGATTAGGGCTTATTTATCTTTTCATTTTATACCTTATCTTTAAGTAGGAAGCAGCCCAAACAGCTGTGCAGGTTTCAAGCCCTCAGCCAGGCTCTGTGCCCAGCCGCACGCAGGAACCTGTCTGCAGGTCGGAGTGATGGCACGTCACAGTCAAAGCCACTCAGGGAGAATTAAACTTCAGGCTTGTTTGACTAAACTTCTGAATTCACCACAGTTCCCCTGTTTTGCCAGCCTGAAGAAACAGCCCAGCAGGTTCTCGAGTCATATGCCAAAATGCCTCCTTCATCCTCCCTGGAATTGGAAATGATTACTAATAGGTATTCTTGCTGAAATGATTTAACATAACGTGCTGAGTGAGATCACTAAGTCAAAATATCTCTTCCTAAGTGAGTCTCTCGCCGCTTGCCTGAATGCCAGAGGGGAAGGAGGACAGCATGAAGTGAATTCTTTTGCTGGCTTCTGTGTTCTACAACATCTTTTAAATTACCGAAGAATTCATATTAGGAAGTTTCACTCAGGCTCATTACAAGAGGTCCATGATGCAGGTCTGGCAGGCAGCCGGGGGAAGGAGACCCAGGGGTTTGGGTTAACCTCTCTCTTTCATGCTTTCCCCTTTTCCACTGCTCTACAGTCTAGCCCGGGAACTGAAGACAGGCAAGAAGATGAGGTGGGCATGAAAGCGAGGATGGTGAGGGGCAGGGCACTCTTTGCTCTGCATGCACAGCCCTGGATTTGCATCACCAAGGCAGCTGCATCTGTTACAGCAGGCTGCAACCACCAAGTGAAACACAGGATTTGGGGAGGAACAGGGGTGAGCACCACAAAACACACCACTGCATGCCAGGGCTGCTCAGGGTTTCACTAAGAGACCAGGCTGCCCATCTGAGTCTGTCAGCCTCGAAATTAACTTATTGAGGTCAGCACTCATAACAGTAGTGCAGACTTTTGATTGAGTCTTCCTTTCTGAGAAAGCCCCATACTCTCTGGCCCAGTACAGCTATTACCTGCCAACCTAAAGGATGATGAATGTTATTTATATTGCAGTAATGGCTAACCACTCAGTGGAGACCAGGGACAGGCTGTGCTATGGACTTTTCAAACACTCACTGAATGAGGGCTGCCCAAAAATGCCTGAAACTGCTGGGACATTTCAGGATAATGTTCTTGAATGCCTTGGACATGATGACCTCCAACAACTCTGCAGTACTTGTGCTGACTGCAACAACACAGGGGCCTGTTCTACAGTAAAGATGTTCTTGAGTCATAAAAATTCTTATCAGTCACTGTTACATGCTGTCATGATAGCAAGCAATTACTTGAGAGGAGGTTTTTAAGTTCCTGGATGAATAAATGTAAAATATTAATCTATTTCAAACCAAACAGAAAACATAGGGGTATAAAGAGTTATTCTAATGAACAGTTCTCCTAATATTTAGCTGCTAAAGTTTTGCAGTCCAAGAAATAAAGTTGATTAATGAATAAGAACTACTCAAGATGTAGATGGGAAAAGTAATCCTGAAACAGTAAAACATGAGGGGCCTGATTCTATAAAAGAAACCCTGTAAGACCAATTTAACTTTGGCATGTGCAAACTTGCACGATTAGGCTTCAAACAACTGCAGAAAAATGTAAGAACTGATAAACTATAGCTTTAGCTTTCCACTACAGTGAGCCCAGAGGGTAGATAGCTGACACTTCCCATGAAATACCCTCTCAAGAAATAGCCCTGCAAAGATGCAGAGGAAATACATCTAAAACATTCAATGCAGATGTGTTTTTCACTATTAATCATTCTCTTTGTATCTTAGAAAGATCACACAGTGACTTCTTTCATATGCACTGAGGTACAGAATCCTAAAATATTAAGTGATGAATTCTACCAAGAATGCCTTAGAGATGGTGCTGAGGAATAAGTGTCAGCTCCTCTTTTACCCCTTCTACAATTAATATTCCAGTACTATAATTCTAAAATACATTCAGAAATCAGCAGACATTTGTGTCTATCAGAAACCTTATTAAAATACAAGTGCTAAGAATACCTTACCTTTAATTATACTCTTTACACTTAAAAGTTGCTCTAGACAAGGCTGTCAGAGCTTCATAGCCAAAAGCCTGAAGATATCAGATCCCAATAAACAGATTAAGCAGGGATTAACTTGATATGCTTTTTTCTGTCTTTTCCATCAGATGAGTGGTCACTCCTCTACCAACTGGGAGAAATTAAGCACACAGTAAGAGACTGCAAGTACTTTCTAGCTGTCTCAACTCTAGAAGTCTCCTGAGAGGGCTGATGTCTCAACATCTGGGCATTCCTTTCACTGTCAGACACTCAGAGCAATGGGATTTATCAGCAATCTGCCGAGCATATACAGATGACAACTGCAGAGCTTGGAGAGCTCAAAGGCATTTACAGAGAGAAAGGGGTTTGCAACAGACATGTGGAGCCAGAGCTGAGACCCAGAGCCTGTGAAAATTATTCCCAGTAGCTGTAAAGCCTTTAGCTGCAGTAGTTAAACCAGGCACCACAACATGCAGAATTTAGCCTGGGTGCACTTTACAATTACATAAACTGTTTGAGAGAGGCTGAGCAGCCTCCACATCACATATTACAAGGAAAAGGATGCTGGGATAATGCTGGAAGGTGGTCTCTCCAAATAATTTCCCAAAGACAGCTTTATTTTTAATAATTTGTCCCTTTCACGTTTTTCAGAATAGCTTTATTCATTTATCATAGCAAATTGCTTAAGTCCCTCCATCCTCCAATGCAGCCAGTGACGGAACTTCACAATAAACTTTTTATAGCAGCAAATGTGTTTTTGTTTCCCTGGCATCCTAAAAAAAAAGGAATCTTTCTTCAGCTACAGTCTGTACAAAAGCATAAGTTAGCTCTCTGGTGTTCAAGAATAGCTGGTTAGACTCTGAGGCTGCAAAAGATATATTATCACATCTGTGTCTAAATATTTATGCTTCCTATGTCTGCTAAAAGCAACACCTACAATTGCTATAACTGAAAATGACAAGATAAAAAAATATTTTTCACCAATTTGTCACCCTTTTGCGTTTAACAACACTAAAGATACAGTGCAGTTCATTAACAGAGTTTTGCCTGTTTCTGTTTAGCTATAACAAGGGAGAAATAAACGTGTTAAACAAGAAGCAAATGGAATTGTAAACACGACAAAAATAGAAACAGATTTTGTGGGGTAGTACAGCATGGAAAACTGCTTAACACACGTGAAAAGGAAAAATCATAGAATTATAGAATCATTTAGGTGGAAAACACCTGTAAGATCATTGAATCCACCATTAACCCAGCACTGCCAAGCTCACCACTAACCCCTGTCCTTGAGAGCCACAAATACACATTCTTTAAATACCTACAGGGGTGGTGACACCATCACTTCCCTGAAAAGCTTGTTCCAATGCCTGACAACCCTTTTGGTGTTAACTTTCAAGTTGTCTCACTCAACTGCCTTTAACCATAGCAGCAGATAAGATGGCCATCCTTTATTTCCATGGGATTTCCTTGCCCAGCAGGTTCATTATAAAGTTTTACCTTAGGGTTCCCAGGCACTACACTTGATATTACTGTCAGTAATAAACTTTTTTCCACCATTTTTGCATATTTAAGTAATTGAAAAACTTTAAATTATGCTACCATTTCTTTGTGAGTGGGGAGTTGCCATCATGCGTATATGACAAAGGCAAAAATACAAAAGCAGAAAATGTCATGAATTCTCCTTCAAGCAGATAGTATTGCAGTAGCACTGAACAAGTTTATATTAATTACTTTCAGAAGGATAAGGAGATGTCATATTTCAGATAGAGGATTCTACCAAAACCACTAAGAACAATCCGTAAATGTAACAATAGTGAGATTTTTTCATAGAATCATTGTGACAGCTGTCAAGCTGGGAAAAGCTTTTTGTAATGCCAGTACAATTGTTCATTTAAACAAAAGCTAGTAATTCAGTCACACTGGAACAGCTCACATGCCCGGCTCTGCCATACAATCTGCACACAGGCAGATCCATATGCATAGTTGCCCTTTAGTTTTCATATTTGGGGCTACAATGTGATTTGTCCAGACCTGAGCAGAGCCCCACAAAAATCAGGCCAAAAGGCAATTTGTGGTTGAGTTATAACAAGCCACCTGTGTTTTTTCTTGTTGGAAGGGGGAGGTTTGGCACCCCAGGTTAGCAGCTGGTGTAGGACACACTCTCTGCAGCCAGGCTAACCATGTGGTCATTCTTTTTCCCTGAGCCCTCAAAATAAGGGAACACAACTATTTGTAGAGATGTCACCTTGCTCTGTGTGCAGTGACAGACTGAAGTACCAAAGGTGTCAACTGTATCCTTCCTCAGAGAGTGAGCTCACAAGAAAATCCCAGTATAGGTCTTTACAAGTAATAAAGACCCAGAGACCCCATTAACTACCTCCACCCATGGCAGGGCCGTGATCATTAAGGTGATTTACTAACAGCAAAACCAACTCTGTAGAAGAAATAAAGTGTAACCCTTACCTCCTGGTAGACATCATCATTCCTGCTGAAGTCTCCGGCCCTCCTTGGAAGCACATGGACATGAGCATGCTGAAAACATGAAAAAAAAATAATGTTGATTATCAGGTTCATGATTTTGTTTTTTGGATTGTCAGTATTATTCTCAACACACACAAGTAACCACACACAGGCTCCCACAGCATTATTTTCAGAGGAAAACACATTAACCTGGTCCATAACTGTATCTCGACTCTTTGGAGAATATAAAAGATGAAAAACACGAGAAAGCAGCTCTGCTGTATTATATGAGCTGCAGACTGAAACGCCAGGAAGTTTAGAGGCTCTGTGGAATTATTCATAGTTGTCAGTCAGAGATGTATTTAGCCAGAGGTTTGCAATGACAATGTCCCTCGGAGAGATGCGTGTGGTGTCTTCAGAACCGACAAGAATAAGAGGGTGCTGTGATGGGATGTGGCAGAGGGCCCGTGTGGGCAGCCTGGGCTCAGGGCTGTGCTCACAGCCTGGGGGACAGAGGAGCCCAGGGGACACCACAGACACCATGCAGGTAGAAAGGCTGACAGAACAGGACACTCCCCAGGCTGTGCAGCACAGCCTTTCACAAGGTTAAAAAGCTTAAATAGCCTGAACACAACAAACTGAAGCCCCCAGGGGCACGTGGCACGTGCTGGGGACACACCCCTGCAGGGACATGGACTACAGAGCACCAGGTGGCCCCAAACCTGCGAGGCACAAGGATTATCAGTCCAGTTTTTCAGAGCCTGAAGCATAAGCATCCCTCTTCCGATGGCAGGGCCACGGCTCAGGGGACAGCAGAGCTGAGGACTATGAGCTGCACAGGCAGCTTTGGGTTACCCAGCATGGGAAGGAGGTGAGGGCAAAGTATTTTTGTCACAAGTGCTGATGAGGTATGGGGAAAACAAACAACACTGTGGACAGGAACACAAATATATGACTTGCCACCTTGATGTTATATTATTACTATTACCATTTTTTTTCCTGACACTCTCTTTATACCATAAAGGAAGGGTAATTCAAGATCCTCAAGACTCAAACTCTACTAGGAAATCAAACAAACAGTCATCCATCTGCTTCTCTGCAGTAAGTTCAGCCACTACATTGCAAAGCATTCTTTTACCTTTTTTCCTTTCTCTTTCACTCTCTTTTGAGAAAAGGAAAAACAACAACAAAGAATAATTCTTCAGGGAAAAAAACCCCAACACCTCAATGAGGAGAGGCAGCAAAGAATATGAGTGGCAGATCACATTTATGGATCTCCAGATCTTTTTAGATGGTGCCTAAATCTTTTAAAAAAAAAAAAAAGGGAAAGAAAGAAAAAAAAAAGAATGCATCAGAAACAGCACCAAATGGTTTGCATAGAATTTAGATAGCTTGCACCTGATTCAATTTGATGATGTAGAAATCAGCTGAAATTCCTACATCTCATTGAAACATTCTCAAAACATGGCTTAATGAAATTTGAAATGAAAAAGATTTTATTGGGCTATTTGTAAGAAAATTCAAACACACCTATATTGTGTTAGCTTCAATCCACAAAAACATCTGCTCAGTGAATAAAATGAAATCACAAGGATGTCTCAGTTAATGAAATATGCTGAATACCACACTTTTTTCTTTTTTCCGCAGCTTTACCCTAGAAACCAAATATGTGATTTCTTATCATTACCCACAGCTTTCAGTGTATTCAGCCTAGAGATGAGGGTGATTCTTGAGGGTCAGAAACCGTGTTTTTGAGTAATACATCAGTGATAGTGTTCTGATAGTGTATTATACTAATATATCATGAGAGCGAAAGTGCTCTTGTGATGTATGAGTGCAATGTATCATCTGAACATCACTGCTCTCATGATGCATTGCTCAAAATCACAAGGCAACTTTAAAGATGGTCTTCAGTAGCCCTAGGCCTGAAATTTTGCTTTTGGACGGACTTTCAAGAAAAATAAAAGTGAAGATTAAAATTTGCAGTGGTACTGTAAAATTTCACTACTGTCTCACACCTGTTTCTCACACGATACTCATTAGATTTGAAATTTATTCATAAAGATAGTCAGTTCATCTGACAGTCATTTTCTTTCTTTTCTGCTACAAGGAATGATAGTTTTGCTACAAATATCAGTTTGCAGGAATTTCTCTTGATGATATATATGAAATCTAACACTAGCTATCAACAACCGCATTCCCCAGAAGTTTAGTCACCTTTAAGAGTAATTTTTATCTCTGTTGCAGAATGTTCCAGGATGCACACAGCAGAAGATCTGTACACCCATGATACTTTGGAACCTCAGAAAACACTCAGGGATGTAGCCCAAAGCTCAGTGCAGAGACGCTGCACTGCAGATGCACAGACCAGCACAGCAGGTAATGAATGAGCCTAATGTGATCTTCTACCCAAAATGGGCTTATGTGATCAGCGTGAAAAAAAAAGAAAAAAAAAGTGTTTATGACAGCATATGGGCCACTTGGCACCAGTGGGGACATTCTCAGGGGTTAGTCACCTTTACTACATGCATTATGTTCTCACACACTGCCGGGTTGCATAGCAAAATCCACCAACTGTATCAGAAAACAAATGAATATTCCCAAGGTTTGAGGTAAGAACGATCAATTTCAAAGAGAGCAATTTTTTCCAGACACCTTTTTTTAACCCCCCTCCCTTCTGTGCATGAAACATAAATAAATATCTGGATTCTCCCCACTGTTTGTGCAATAGAAACAAACAGGATCAGCAATAGTGTCTCAAGTAGTTTCCTTCTCTTCAGCTTTACCAAGAAATACAAGCAGCACAGAGCAGTGGCTACCAGGTAGTCAGAAACACTGAACAAGGGGATTTCACACCTTTTCTAATCTGCCTTTCAGCTTCTGGCCTTCCCAACTCAGAGAGGCTGATATTTTGATTCATTAGGAGTTCTTTAATTGATCATTTTTACTCCTTAGTACTATTTGTTACTGATAAAGCCTCAATCCACCAAGGCAGTTAAGCACCAGCTCGATTTCCAATGTGTGAATTGGTTCAGTGGGAGTATTCACCTTATGTACATGTCTCAGTGTTTTGCATCCACTGCTGGCTACAGGGAGGTCTCCCCAGCTGGCAGTAGCAAAAAAAAACATCAAGGTGCCTGCAAATTAAAGTTGCTTCCTTCCATTTTGTTTTCCAGGCAAAACAAAAACCTGCAGCATCCAAAAAAACCCACATTTGCAATTGACTGAAATGTGTCAGTAAATACAAACAAAATATTGGGTGGCTTTTTTTTTTTTAAACAAACAAAGAGATTTAGGCAAATCTTCAGTGCTTGAAGAGAAAAAAATCTAAACATTGCCCAAAATTATCAAAATAAAGCATTTCAGGTTTTTTTTCCCCCGTTATTGTGGGTAACCTCTTGCCTGGTGGGTGGCAGGCAGCCCCATCACATTCCAGCAGGCTGTATTCAATCACTGTTGATGGCATTTCATTTTTTTCCTAAAGAATTGCTTTCCCCTCGTTTTGCATTATTTTGATTAATAAGCAAGAAAAGCAACACACAACAGCCAAGACATTTACATTAATGGACCAATCAATATCACCCACACCAGGGTAGAAGAATGCAGACACACGCTTGCAGTGCTCAGCGTTAGCTCCATTCCCTCCTCTTGCCAGGCACTGATGGAGGACGGCGTGTGGGGTCACAGGATACAGGGACACTGGGTGTGACAACATGAGGACACAGCAGTATGTCCCCAGGTGGGAGACACCGTGTGAGTTAAAGATGCCTGAGCCCCACGAGATGCTTCTGATACTGGGGACAAGATTTCCAGCCAGGGATGTCCAGAACAGCAGTAGCTGGAAGGAGGCTGCGGGAGCTGAATTTTATAGGACGTTCAAAATTGAAATTATTAGACTGACAGTTTTCTATGGCTGGGACTACAGCTCCCTCTGCTTCCTGGTGGCTGCCACATTATAAATAAAATCTCAGTTTGAGAAACTCCTCATAGTGAGAACTATCACATGATGCAAATCAAGACCTTTATACCCAGAATGACAAGACCATTAGAAAACATACTGCAAGGAACAAATCTGTAGTGCCATGGGGAACTCACGAGTCAGAGCCAGCATGTGATGTCTCTGACCTCCCACTGCAGCGAGAGGATGCTCTGCTCGAGCCCTGCAGCATTCCCATCAGGACTGTGGGAGCAAGAGGCTGCCTGTGGGCACTCTGGAGCACGCTCATACCACCACTGCCAAAATCTGGCCATGGCACAGGCATTACACCTCTAACGTCGCTCTCCAGTGAACCAGGGCTGCAGAATGCTCAGAAAAGTCTCAGCCAAAAAAACTGGAGCCTGTACGTTGTTGGAAAAACACACATTCAGGTAAGGTGAGTTCTGCTCCAGCACTCAAGGCCATGCAGAAAGCAATGTTCCTGGTTACAGCTGGGTTTATGTACTGAATTATGGTCGAATAACCAATGTGTCACCACTGCACTGGATGTAAAGTGAAAATACTGGACAAAAATAGACAGTGAAGGAGATTTCCTGGGTAGACCAGAATAGTGAAGAGCAGATGACCCTGCCACACAACACTGGGGAGGACATGGATGTTGCCTGCAATAATTCATGAACATTATGTTGTGTTCACTCAGCTGCTGTGCTGGTTAGCAGAGCAACAAAGCTCAGCTTCCAGCAGAAAGGGAGATAATAGCCTGTACAAGAGCTCCTCAGCATGCACCCAGGGTCTATTAGCAATAAATGTGGCTATAGGATGAATACATAAAAACTGACAAAGGGTCACACAACCCTGAGGACATGGGTGCTGCCAAAAACTTGGCAGAGGAAGGGCTGTTCCCCCTTACACCCACAAAAGCAATACATGGCTGAGCTGTGCTTTCACATAGCAAAACCAGATGCCTTTCAGCACCTTAATGCTTTCCCTTGTTACTTTTCATTCTTACTGTAGAGATGAAGCTTGGCAGTCGTGGGCTTCCACGGTCTCATGGTGCAGCAAGGTCAGGAAAGGCTGTGATCTGGGGCACAGAGGGACATCGGGGCCAGGAAGAGTAAACTCCAGTGTCCCTGCT